TTGAGCCAAAATAAAGAAGCTGATTTTTATTCTTTTACCTATAGGAGATTTATTATAACCTTCTGTTTTATTTTCATCAAGAGGAAAAAATACTGTCCTGTTATGTCAACAAAGCAGCTAACTAGCATTTGAATACTTCATCCCCAAGGGAAGGGTTCTGGATTTAATGTCCTCTGTAATAGTCTTATTCACAGGGATAATGCGGGTTGCATACTAATTAGCAAAAGGCAGCTGGTTCTCAGTAGAAGGATCAAACTTTAGCTCTTGAAGTTTCCAGTTGATAAAGTTGTAAACTATAATTTTTTATAATTCTAGCTTTTTTTACTGAGGGGAAAGAGGAGGCCTGTTAGCGTGACTAGTGACTTAGTTATGAGCAAGGCTTTAGTTTAGAATGAGGGACATAGTCTATATATTATTGAAAGACTAAATTTAGAGTTATCTGTTAACACTTGTAGTTTTGTGTTTTTTGCTAAATAAGAATTGTCCTTATTTTGTAAGTGTAATTACAGATGAAATATTTAGTTTAGATTACAATATTCTCTTAATAGAAATATCCCATTCTTTTATTCATCCATGCTGGAGTGTCGCTCCATGCTCTTTGCTGCTAATACTGCAGTCCTTGATATTTCTGCATGCATTCAAGTTATTTCTGAATAACAGATAAAACTGTAAATTCTCATTAAAGTGCCCCTGAATATTTTTGTAATATTTGTATCACAGAGAAATGTTTAAATATTACTAACAATGATGTTAAAAGTTTCCATTTTTGAAAGAAACAAAAAGTCTTTAAGAGATACAAACACTCATTAGCTGAAAAAAATTCAGGGAAAGACAGTTCCACCGCATGGAGGTCCCCTCTTTGGTAGGTAGATACTGTTCAAGGATCCAAGTGCCCTCTTGGCAATTTCTTGAAGAAAATGTTCTCGTTTTATTTTCACAGACTCCCATCATTGCTAACTCTGCCCCCAATCCTCTTTATTGTCTGCATGAGGGAGATAATTGGGAAGGGGTTGCTAACTGGTTTGAAACTTTACTTTTGTGGTTTGGCTGGTACAACCAGATTATTATATAAAGTCTGTAGTTCCAAACTCTTGTCTCTGATAAAAATAGGTTCCTGTTTCGAAAACGAACTTTGTCTGATAAAACCAGATTGTGTTTTTAACAACCGGAGCCTAGGGTTATATATAACTCTATTCCATAACTGGTCTACAAGATTACCTGAAGATGTTAATGATAGTTAAAACACACAAGTTGATGTGGCTCACTGAGAAAACAGTGGGATGGAAGGAGGGGCAGTGGTGGAGCACATTCCTCAATTCACCCTGCACACTTAGCCTATGCTACACCAGAAAGAGAGAGGACAGAGAAGAAGAGACACAGACTCTAAAAGGTTTAAAGACTCACAAGTTTTAAGAGCAGGCTACAGCTTTTCACAAGAGTGATGGTAAGTTTGTGAGACAAAGCTTTAGCAAAGATTTTACAAAGTTTAATTTTGGAACTCTCTTATTTTGCTGCATGCTGTTGAAGGTAATTTAAAATGCTGTTTAATTTTAACTCACTGTTGTACTATTTTACTGCTTTACTGTAATTATTTCAATTTATTCTTTACTTGTTTAATAAAAAAGACTGCCTTGATTCCAAATCAATGAAGAAACCTCCTACTGCTCCTTTGCTGGCCCTGGAGATTCCTCCTTTACTTATAACTCACAGCTATATTATTTTTTTTACTGCTAAATGTATTGCCATAAACACCTACTAGCTAATTCATTCACCTTCATGTTTTATTACTTAATAAAGTCTTTAAATCAATGAAAAAACCTCCTCCAATTATTAGTCAAAAAACACACAACTGAAGGATGTGGACACCCCTTTATCAGTTACACATAGACATCCGGGTGGGGGTGGGGGGTGGGGGTCGGAAATGGGGGGTCAGAAGTACCTGTCAAAATTAGTTTGATGGAAGGTCATGTATACTTTCTCTCTTCTGTGGTTTGCTGGCAGAACAACGGGTGCTTTCTGATCAGGTGCCGTTGTGCTGTTGCAGAGGCGACATAAATTTCATTTTACAGTGGATGGACGGTAACATTACAGAGTTGTTGTTTTCTTTAGCTTGAAATAATCCCATACTCTCTCACCCTCCACTTTGCAAACAGCGGCATTATAATTACGTCGTGTTCACAGCGTAAGTGCGATGTGCAACAGTAATAAATGTCCGTGCAAAACAGTGTGCTGTATAGTTATATGGATTAAACGACATGCATCGACGCAAATTCTTTGTGTCGATGCATTTTACTAATTGATTTAATTTTATTAATTGATTTAATTGCCAATTGGACTGGATTCAGCCTTTCTCTCCCAGCCAATAACTTTTGGTCCAATCCATTCTAACCTACCTGGGCCTCACTCCTTTTCCGTCTCTGTTACGTGGTGACATTACATGGATTAAAAGGGAAGTGGAGCAAGATGAACAAACAAAAAGAGAAACAGCATAAGGTGGTGCTGAAAAGCTAAGCAAGAAGAGGTCCCTTGAGGCTGGTGCAGCCAAACGTTTGGTCAGTCGTCTCAGCCTAGTGAGCCTATACGCACCAGCCGCAGAGAGGAGAGAGAGCTGCCCTGTTGAGTCCAGCGATAACACTTCAGCTGTTAGTTGAGGTTTTGCAGCCAAAGCTGTAAGACAGAAGACAACAGGGATAAGATGAGCAAAGTCTGGGTTTGGCTGGCTATTAAGCTATATTGGGGGCCTTTTGTTGAAATGCAAAATTTTTCATAATGTCAATGCGCAGTGTAGTAGTAGTCCTGTGCTCCATTGTTAATATAAATATATGAATCATAGCAGCTGTAATGTTAACACTTTTTTCCTTCAACAATGACCACAACTTTTCCCCAACTATAACCAAGTATTTCAGTCGCCTAAACTTAACCATAACCTTAACTATAGTGGCAACAGACCAAAAAACATTCAAGTTGTTATGGAAGGCACCCCATATAAGTATGGGGTCCCGTGCTCATAATGGTCACTCCGGTGCATCCCACATTGTGCTGCTTCAATCCATCGGACACTTCTTGGAGCTGTCACTCAGGCTTACAGACCCTGAACAAAAATGAAAACCTTCCATGGAAAAGTAGGCCTTTTGTTATTTTACATTTCTACACAGCAGGTCTCCTTAAGCTGTTATACTGTATGTAAGTGGGGAAATGGCGTTGTAAGAACAAAGGAAGAGATATAAGGCTCTCACCAATGTTTCTAGCTATGCTTTTTTTATCAAAAGGTATGCAACTGCACTGTGTCTCATAAAATCTCATTATATATGCAGCATCTCACAAAAGTGAGTACACCTCTCACATTTTTGTAAATCTTTCATTATATCTTTTCATGTGACAACACTAAAGAAATTACACAATGTAAGGTAGTGAGTGTACAGCTTGAATTACAGTGTAAATTTGCTGTCCCCTCAAAATAACACATCACACAGCCATTCATGTCTAAACCGCTGGCAACAAAAGTGAGTACACCCCAAAGTGAAAATGTCCAAATTGGGCAATGAGCAATTTTCCCAGTGTCAATAAGTTGTTAGTGTTACAAGTTCTTAGGTGTGAATTTGGAGCAGGTGTGTTAAATTTGGTGTTAACGCTCTCACACTACCTCATACTGGTCACTGGAAGTTCAACATGGCACCTCATGGCAAATAACTCTCTGAGGATCTGGAAAAAAGAATTGTTGCTCTACATAAAGATGATTATAGCCTAGGCTATAAGAAGATTGCCAAGACCCTGAAACTGAGCTGCCATACAGCGGTTCAACAGGACAGGATCCATCAGAACAGGCCTTGCCATGGTCGAACAAAGAAGTTGAGTGCACATGCTCATCGTCATATCCAGAAGTTGTCTTTGGGAAATAGACTTATGAGTGCTGCCAGCATTGGTGCAGAGGTTGAAGGGGTGGGGGGTCAGCCTGTCAGTGCTCAGACCATACGCCGCACACTGCATCAAATGGGTCCAGAAGGAAGCCTCTTCTAATGATGATGCACAAGAAAGTCTGCAAACAGTTTGCTGAAAAAAAGCAGACTAAGGACATGGATTACTGAAACCATGTCCTGTGGTCTGATGATACCAAGATAAACTTATTTGGTTCAGATGGTGTCAAGTGTGTGTGGTGGCAACCAGGTGAGGAGTACAAAGACAAGTGTGTCTCGCCTACAGTCAAGCATGGTGGTGGGAGTGTCATGGTCTGTGGCTGCATGAGCTACAGTTCATTGAGGGAACCATGAATGCCAACATGTACTCTGACACACTGAAGCAGAGCATGTACCCCTCCCTTGGGAGACTGGGCCGCAGGCAGTATTCCAACATGATAACGACCCCAAACACACCTCCAAGACAACCACTGCCTTTCTAAAGAAGCTGAGGGTAAAGGTGATAGACTGGCCAAACATGTCTCCAGACCTAAACCCTATTTAGCATATGTAGGGCATTCTCAAATGGAAGGTGCTGGAAAATAATGGTGGCCACACATAATATTGACACTTTGGGACCAATTTGGACATTTTCACTTAGGGGTGTACTCAGTTTAGTTGCCAGTGGTTTAGACATTAATGGCTGTGTGATGTGTTATTTTGAGGGGAAAGCAAATTTACACTGTTATACGAGCTGTAAACTCACTACTTCACATTGTAGAAAAGTGTCATTTGTTCAGTGTTGTCACATGAAAAGATATAATCAAATATTTACACAAATGTGAGAAGTGTACTCACTTTTGTGAGAGTCTGTATGTGTGTATCATTATGTGCCCATTCTCCATTCTTTTTGAATGCACAATGATATAGTTTTTTTTCCCCAGCAACAGTTGTTATTGTCAAATCAGTGCCTTGATTGTTCCAGAACAAAGAAAAAAGTCTGAGTTCAGTGCCAATGTGTAGAATCAAATTTAATTGTTTTTTCAATATATTTATTATTATTATTTAACATTCAGAATATTCAAATACAAAATACAGCAACATTTTTCAAACAACAGACAAAGACAGACACTAAAAAACACAGTGATAATGTTAGACACAGTCCAGAACCATTACTTCTGGACAATGAAACTACTTTAAGAAGAGACCACTGTGACAAAGATATTATTTTGGCATATTGACAATTGCTCCTCAACAAACTGAAAGTAAAGCAAATTATTCATTAATTACAGGGAGAAAAATGTCTTGTCTTGTACACCCACATGCGCATGTACACATTTTACTGTTTTGACTTTCTAGACATAAAATATATATTGTTCACCAGAAACACTGTACACTCATCTTCCATTGCCAATCATGCTTTTTCTGCATTTTTCAACCACAAAATTTTGATTGTTGTGAAGACGAAGGTTTTAACATTTAATTAACGCACACATTTCTATCTAAGGTTGTCGCTGTTGCTGCAAAAAATACTCACACTATGTGTATAGAGACACTGTAACATGTTTAATTAATAAAATTTTAATGATTGTGTGGAAACAAAGTACTGTTATTACACCAAATCTTTGAAAACTATCCGCTGTACATTTATGGTTACACCATCAGAATTTCATCGGACTTCATGTTTTTCAGACCCGTAATGGGCAGCATGTTGCAGTATTAATGAACCATGAATTTTCTTTCTGACAGCCTTTCAAAAGTAATATTTTTCCCATTTAAATTTCTCCACGTTTTTCAGAAAAAGATAAATGACCAGCTGGTACACACACACATGTATTTTCATGTGCATTGACTGCATGCACATGGTTTGCTTCCTTTCATTGGCAGAATAAAGTAACCACATGCACACCATACAAAAGGTGCCAGCATGAATCAGGCCTGAGAAGACATGAAAAGGTTTTTTATTTTTTCATTGCATCTTTTGCTTAGTTGTATTCTGTCTTTAAATGGACGTTTTAGAGATTGTAGCTGTCTGTGTACTCATTCTTGTTACATCACAGAACACAACAATGCAGAGACTGTAGGTAGGGCTTGTTGATGTGATATTTGAGGTATAGAATAAAATATTCTGGATGCACATTCTGCCAATTCCATTGCATCCATCAAATGCTTAGAGTATAATTTCAATATTTTTAATAGTATAATATTCTAGATTATTTGGATGTGTGTAATTAAGGAAGTGAAAAAAACAAACTCCACTTAAGCTAAATTAAATGAAGTGAGGTGAAGCTGATGTTCAGCCTCAAAATGCACAGTAATGCACCTGCAAGCTTTTAACAGAGTGAACCAAAATTAAGGCTGAAAGAAAAGACACAGACAGACCAAACAGTACATCAATACATCAGAACATCAATTTCAATGCACGACATTTTGCAAGATTTTTTGGACAAAAGATTTACATCAGATTCTGATGTGTAGCCTGATGAACATTGTATTTCTCACAAGTATATGATATGAAGAAACTTCAATTAACTTTACATAACATGACGAATGAGCCCAGTTTGAATCAAAATACATCCTTGTGACTATTACATTAGCATTCTGTTTTATATATAATGTGTCAGTGCTGCAACACTATTAAGACATTTTTTAAAAATGTATCTAACGCTCCAGAACATCTACTAAAAAGGGTTGGGTATTGTTTAAAATTTATTGATTCCGATGCCACTTACCGAATCCGGTTTGATCTTGGTTCTGATTCCAATATTCTAAGCTATAATCAGTAAACTGTCAACTGTGGCACAAAGGTTTCTTTTTCTCTTAATTTATAAAAATAAATATGACTCTTAAAAGGAATGATCAGTGATCTTCCAGCTGTTTCTGATTTGCTATGAAAATATCAAAGAAGGCTAATGTCCATGTATACTGCTGTGAATAAGCAGATATCAATAATGCATTCTACATTCCTAAATGGAGATTCAACCGTAGCAAAAGGATCTAATCCCTTCACCACAAATCTTGCCAGCGCTCGGTGACATTCATCCACCTTACTCATCTTCCCCTTCATGTCTAAAGTAACAAAGAGTTTTTGTACTAGGGTACTCGTATCTAAGTAAACTATATATTGGAATAATTCGTACAAATCATTTGTTTGCCTTAAATATAAAAGGTGAATGTCAGCTCAAATGTGTTTTGTACCTGTGCTTGAGAAATTGTTAGCTATATCTGGGGCGCCATGGAAGCTAGGAGACCACAACACATTGAACACGCTTCATTCTGTCAGTTTCCCGCCGTGTTGAAGTAAATGCTTCTTCTTTTTGGAGGTGCTTCCTCCCTTGCACCAAATATCCTCACTGCTGGCATTGTATTTTGCTGTGTCGTCGTCTTTTTTAGTGAAGGCCAAACTTTTGAGCATTCGCTGCAGTCCGCCATGGTCCAGGAATGTAAACCGAAGTATTCTCTTCTCGCATGCTTTGTTGACGTACTGTGTAACAAATGACATGACGTTAGGTCCCCGTAGCAGGTCCTGGCAGATAAGTGCCACTTTTTTGGATTGTAAAATACTCACTGCAGTTCAATCAGAAAAGCGACTGAAATATGCAGAGAGTTAGGAACCGATAAGTGTAACCAAAATGCACAAGTCTTAACTAATCGACAGTACCTGGAAATTTGGTTCTTGATTCCCAACCCTACTCCTAAATGGATCTTGCGGTGAGATTGTTTTGTCAACGGCTGTCTCCAAGATCAAAAATGAACTCATCTCGCCTGTCACTTCAACATGGAGGACAAGTTCTTAAAGTGCACAGGGGGAAAAAATGGAAATTTAATCATTAACACAGGGCAAACTCCATCTGCTAAGGAAGATCGTGTGATACGATCCGAACCTCCAGAAAATGGACCTTGTCGTGTGTTTTTAAATTTTTTTAAACAATGCACCAAAGAAAGATATCCTTACTTCCTTAAGAACCACTGGGAAATCCTTTTTTTGATGACAGTTTCTTCAATATACAGTTGTCACCAAACCCATCTCCTCTCCCTCGGCTACTAAAATCCTGTGTAGGCCCAGCCATACTTTGCTGAGATTTTCAAATTTCCTCTGAAACACTCAAATGGGATTAAGAATCTCAAATACCAAAATCCTATCACATTGTGGCAGTTGTTCCCAGTCAGCTTACAGCCACGATGGGCTCCACTGAGAGGATGTCGGTTCTTCCTGTGAGGGCCTGCCTAGCTGTGAAGAGCACATGTGTATCTTTTAGGTTGTGGGACTGACTGGAAGAGGGATGACTCTGCTGTGAGGAGGCGTGGCCCGGGTGGGACAAAGCATGACTTGGCCCCGAGGAGTCATGATTGTCAGGCCAGGCAGTCCTCTGACAAGGAGCGCAGGCCACTACAGGGCGGAGCTCTGGCTCCAACCCGACAGCCGCTCTCCGTTTCCTCCTGCATATGTCAAAGAGGAGCCTCAGCTCCTGGCGGAAGGTGGGATTCAGACAGCAGTAGATGAAAGGGTTGTAGCAGGTGGAGCTCATAGCCAGCCAGTGAAAGCAGAAGTAAAGGGCGTTAGAGGAGTTGATAGCTTGGCTGGACAGCAGCACTACGTAACAGTTGAGCGGGAACCAGCAGACAGCAAACACCCCGACCACCAGGAGCAACATGGCAAGCGTCCGCCGCCGCTTTCTTCTCTGGGTGGCGTGTTGAGCTGTTGTGGTGTCACCAATGGCGTTGTGGCGCAACAGCCGGCAGGCCACCGTGGTGTAGGAGGCAGTGATGATGAGGAGTGGCAGCATGTAAAGTAATATGAAGGTCAGGAGGTCAATATACTGCCAGTAGACATCTGATGGCTCGGGGAAGTCTGGGACACACAGGCTGCGCTCCTTTTCCTTACTGGTGAGGAGAATTACAGCACAGAGGAAGAGGGACAGACAAATTTGTGAGAGGGGTGAGAATTGGGTTACAGGTGAGTTTGAGGTGAGATTTATTGTTATTTTTCTGCTGATCATTTTCTTGATAAATTATTTTGTCTATATTACCAAATGGCAGAAAATAGTGAAATTGCAAATTATAACAGAGCACAAGGAGCCCAGAAACAGATATATAGTTAGTCAAGTAAATCCTCACGTCTGAGCAGCAGAAGCCAGAGAGTTAGTACTTGAAAACTGACTCAAATAGTGAATCTTTTTCTTTGTAAATAGTTGCTTATTGATTTCCTGATGGTCCATTAATCGACTAATCGTTTCAGCTCTAGGTCTAGAGGACATAAGAGGGGGAAACAACTCAGATATAGACATAAAACATTACGAAATGGGTTTTAAGAGGCAAGAAGAAATAAGATGATAAAGGTTGTTCTGACTGACAATGAATCATCTTGATCTACGATATAGTGTCGAAATCCTTACATTTATTCTGATTCTGATGTCACCGTATTATGAATACGATGAAGTGATAAAGCCCATAGTGGCCATTGTAGTTATTACTCTTGTCCGTTTTGATCAAAGGAGGAAGTCTGGTGGACACTGGGTAAACAAAACGTCGGACATTTTGTCCACTGACAGTCAGCCTTGGTTTGTGCCTAAAGCTAACCAAACCTTCACCAGAGCAGTGTAAGATCACCAAAGAGTTTGTAACAGTTTTGTTAAGCACAGACAACTCAGTCCAACCTGTCCAGTCGCCTGTCTTTATATGAGCCTACATTCAGGGAAGATGTTTAATGAAGAGTGAGTGTTGAGTGTGCATCATTTTACCTGTATGTAAAAGTCAGGAGTTTTTGGTAAATCGCATGTGGGAGGGAGAAGCAGCTGGCCATTATCCAGATAACAGCGACCCAAACTCCACCTTGTGCCGGGGACATGCGAGGTCTCAGAGGATGTAAAATCACCTAGAGAAAAAAAATCACCACACAGACCAAAGTCAACAAAAACACACACACACACACACACACACACACACAGAGGATTAATACATAAAATAGATTATCCGTACATTTGTGTGTTCATCTGGGGTTTGAAGTCTAAAATCAGCTCTCTTTTCTTTATTCTGAAATGACAACCTGATATTGTCAGACCGATGTGCACCTCTCAGCATTATCAATGGGTGCAGACTCATTCAAGTGGATAGACCTACAACCATTCAGAGCAATCAAACATGACCAGCAGGGCCAGTTGGTATATTAAACTTTTACCAAACTCTGTCTGGAAGTATGGTAAACACATCTTTCCTATCAACAACCGCCTGTAACAAAGTGATTAAGTTACCTCGTTAGAACTGGTAACAGCAAGCTGGCTTTTCTCCCGGTTTGTTGAAGCCAAGGTTCTACAGGTAGACACCTGTACCTCCATATTTCACAGAGATATGTGGTGCAAAAGTGAGCGCACAAGGAACTTGAAAAATATTTCACATAAGCCTACTGATAATGCGGATGTTCGAATGTTAATGTGTTATTCACTACAGCAAAATGTGAGCGTATGAGATTCTTTATTTGTGATTTGAAGGGGATTTTTGCACCTGCTATGAAGAATTTAAGGAAAGTGTCACTGTTAAAAAATCTACAAGTTTGCAACTCCTAAAACATTTTACTCATTGACTTACACCCTTAATATTAACTTCCTATTAATTTCAACAACACATTCCATTGTCAAAGGTGCTCAATTGTTTTGTGCCAATAATACCTTCTTAAAAATTACTCATATCCAATTATAAATCCATAAATGTCAAGGAAGAACATTACTGTAGGTCAAGCCAATTGTGTTTGTGAAGTGTTAACGTTAGGCCATGTAATTAACTGAAAGCATTTTTTACAGTCAAAGCTGTGACCAGTAGAAAAGAGCACACAATATTTTTTATTAACCTCTTAGTCATTTTGTTTGTGTTGTATTTTGTTATTTAAAATTAGTATAAAAAAATAAGTACAGACTTCTGTACAGACTCAAAGAACCTCGAGCATCATCCAACTGAGCAAAGAGAAAAAGGAGCTTCCTGTTCCTTTAGTGCAATGAGAAAATGTGGTCTAGTTACAATAAGCTGAATACCGACACCAATAAGATGAAATATCTGTCTAAATGAAAGCGATTGGCTCCTGTCACATTTCTAGCAGAAAAGTTTGCCTTTTTCTAAAAAAAAATTCTCATTCTGTCTCCAGCCCCTGCTCACTTCTTTCAGGCCATATACTTTCTCCTACTCCCCAGACCTGCCATCCTCAAGCTCTCCAACACATGCCCTCTGACTTTCCCTCTGTTCTCCATAACCAGACTTCCTCACCCATCTCCACACCTGTTCCCACTTCTCTCATCAGCCCTTCTGCTTTTTCTTCTTCTTCTTCTGCTATGGTGTTTTATTGCGTTTGGAATTCTTAAGTATTGCATTATCACCACCCACTGGATTAAAACATTTCCCAGTTGCAGTGTTCACCCAAAGTATTCCCATTCACAACATTGTCCCTTCTATAACTCAGACTCTGTTCTCTCAGTTGGTGCAAATCCTTCCCCTCAGTGTAACGTCTATCTCTTCTCCCAATATGTCCACAAAGTCCAAGAATCTGCTTGCAGCATCCAGTACCATCTTCATTATTTCTGATTTACTCTTTATTTCAACGAGACAATTTACTACTATGGCAATAAATGCCAAAAATTGTTTCTTGTGCATGCAGCTATTCTGATTGTCTCTATTTCTTTTCTGCTCCTGTTCCTTTTGCACTGCCACTCATTCATCCTTTCTTTCTGTTCTCATGACAAACCCACTTCTGCTCTGATCATGGTCAATTGCTTCTTTTCTTAATACTCTCCAGATATTGTGCTGACCCCGTATGGTGATTTCCAGCACAGTGTATACACTACTTGCTCCTTCTATACTTTACACTTCTCACTTTCACAGTTGTTCTTCCCACACCTCCCACATTCTCTGACTCCTGACAGCAGAAACATCTTAGTGGCGCTCTCTCGTACGGCCTCACCGTGTAACATATATAATCCAAATATAGCCTTTCTGGCAATTCCCCCTCAAAGGTCAGACACACCGAGTGACTTTCCTCCTTCAGTTTTCCGAAATTACTTGCCCTCCACTGACCACTCCATTCTTTTTTATTTCTGACCCGAGTGGGAAACAATTCAAACTGCTATGATCTTCATACACATTAAGTGCCTTATCTCGCTGCCGCTTTGACACACAATGATAACCATTCCACTTCTTGTTATCATGACCGACCGCACATCTCCGAGTTTTTCTCCCACAAACTTTCCGACTTCGTGTAGGTCTCTAAAAAAAATCCCGTCTGTTTATGCCACAGCTATCAACCCAACTCTCATCAGCCCTGCAGTTACTTGACCTACTCCATCCACTTCCCAACTGCAACTCATTCCCTCAGCAGCCACACACCAAATGTAGCGAACAACTTCCATTGTTTGCTGCCAGATTGTTTTGTTATGTTGCATACCGCCTTGAGATTTGGTTCCCTGTTTCTGCATTCCTATTTGACCTTTTGTTTGTTCGTTAGACTTTGGATTCCTGCCTGCTGTGTACTGATTTGTTTGCTTGTGTTGAACTGCTCTCTGGTTTTGGCCCTTGCCTGCCTGCTTTATCTTCCTGCAAGCCTTTGCATCTCATTTTGTTATTAAAATCTGCATCTGCTCTGCATTTGGTTCCTGTTACCCTGCTTCCATCCACTGTGACAGTCATATTTTATATATATATTTATTTTTTGTAGAAATAACTATTCATTTTAAGCTGTTACAGGTGTTGAGGTAAAAAGTACAATATTCCACTCTGAATTGTAGTGGAGTAGAAGGGACAGAAAATAGAAACAGAAGTAAAGTACTAGCAGTGTTGGGCAAGCTACTTGGAAAATGTAGTGATCTAAGCTACTAGCTACTCTACATTAAATGAAGCCTCACTACACAGAAGCTACCCCCCAAGCTAAGCTACAGCAACGTGGCATATATATATATATATACATATATGGAGTTCTGTAATGTAATGTGTGTATATATATATATTCTCATCTCAGTCTCATATAAATTAGGTTTTTTGAGCCTTAGTGCTCAAGTTATTTGCTCCATTTCACAAAGTTCCCATAGCTTTTGAATCATTATCTTGTGTGAGTTTATCAGGATTCAACTGTAATCCAGTACACCTGATGGCAGCCACTAGTAGGATTTGTAACAATTTGAAGTGCAGGATTTCCCATATGTGGTTTGTGTTTTCGGGAAGACCAGAAGAGATCTCTCTACACTTGTCTGAAAAGTCTGGTTTTATTAGACTCTCACTAAAGTTTTTATCTCTTTTTTTTAATAGCTCAGAATAATGTGACATGCATCAGATCCAACTGTCTTGAATTGAGCTCAGGGATTCTGTTTCACAAATGTGGGTTAACCAGTCCAGAATCCAAGCATCTCACAGAACAAACTGGATACCAGCAGATTAATCTCTTGCCACAATAGGGATCCCGCTGACAAAACAAATACTTTCTATTAAATCACATAATACAGCCTATCTCACTTTATGGTTGTAGATTAGCAAATAATGAAACGTATGCAGTGGAGCATATTATTTTTTGCTCCCCAGCTGGTACCTGTTATTGAGGGTTAAGAAGAAAACGGCATATTAATAAGAAAATCAAATACTGCCTTCACTGTTATGGGGGAGAAAAGTGAGTAATTTATGCGGACACATTCACTAGCGGGGGTGGCTTGTTTAAGATTAATCATCTGAGAATAAAAATGGTTTAAAGTGACTACCACCAGCAGCAGAGGCTACAGACATTAGATGTGCTGGTACATCGTGAGCTGGAACTTACCATGGAAGTCAATTATTAACAAGCCAACTAACAAACACCCAAGCCAACTAACAAACACCCAAACACAAGTAAGACAGTATTTGATTTGCGTACATTCTGCCTAACCATTTGTTCATTTTAAGCACGTAAATCAGAGTGCTTCTTTGCTCAGATATCTGCACAACAAACCGGTCAAATGTCTCCATTATGAGGAGTATGTGAATTCGTTAGGTCTCAAAATAGAAGCTTTTTGGACCTTCGTGCATTAGCAGCCTAAATGGAGGCCTACATTTACAGCCCTTTTTATAAAATGAATCCTTTCCTTTGCACGATCATCTCTATTCTACCATGTTATTTGCATACAATGGTGGATGACTGTGTATTATGAAGCATGCTTCCTAGATGGTAATGAGGTATTATACAGTGTATACTGCATGTGGAGCCATTCCAGCACACACTCACTGAAGAAGACATTTTTTTCTCCCATGTATAAGGCAATTAGTAATAATGCAATTAGCAAAGTAGTCAAACTTTAGGAATGTAGTGACATCTTTGGTCTGTACATCTGTTGGACATCTGCCGGTCCCTCGGGTAAACATAGAGGCAACGGACATGAAAGATGTCATGAAATGTAATTAAAGCCTTTAGAGGAGAACATCACAGCATCTGCAGATGCTGCCTGAGGCCATCAAGTGGTATCGATGGCCTGTCGTTGTAATTGCAATATTGTCTGTGGTTGTGGCCACAGTGACATCCACAATGAGCTTGTCAAGCCTAAAACTCACCTGAAACACATTACACATTATACACACACACACACACACACACACGCACACACACATATCTATGTTTCAGTCACAACTTTGTCCCTTGTCCTTTAACTGACAATGTTAGCAAATGTAAGCTTTTAAGATTATATGTAATCTTAATTGCATTGACACTCACTGGTATGCCCATATCTCTGTTATCATGGGACGCCTGGAAAAAAACCTTTACATGAAGTCATTATTCTTCATCTCAGCATGATCCCTCCCTCCAAATCAGGACTTGAGACTAATGGCGTCCTGTCATCCTGGGGGACGATAGAAAATGTGTTTGGGACGGAGAGAAAT